GGAAAAGAAAAGAACTATATAAATATTGACGAAGATATATAAAATAATATCAAGATAAAAGTAAAATATGAAAGAATCACCATTTTATAATTCATATAAATTGAAATTATTTATTTTGTCACCTTTTAGGATAGTCTTGAAAATTCGTGAACAAAAAATAGTAATACATGCATGGTAATGTTAGGAGATGCAACAATAATTTATGTTGGGCAACATATGAGATGAGTTCCTTAAATCAACCAATATTGGACAATATATATAGAAAAATGGGTACATTTAATCGATATTAATGTTTCTAATCTTTTTCAATTAAATTTTATTTTTGAAATAATCACGACTTTAAAGACATTTTCAAACATTTATTTATTTGTTGTGCCATTTTATCCAAATAAAAATATATATCTAAGTATTATGAAATATTATACTTGATCAACATCCAATAGTCGAGAATGAAACAATCAAACATGGTTGGTTAGTTTTCAATTAACAATAAGAAAAGCTATAACTACAAATGATAGTTATAACATATTCTACTTATTTTCAAAGAGCATAACGCAAAAATAAGACAGTAAAAAACTATATTATGATGACAATGATAATGATCGTTATATTTAAGCATAATGAGTTATCATTGGATAACAAAATCAAAGACGACATTAATTTCTTTAGCATTTAAAATTTCACAAAAAAAAAAATAATACTGTGGATTTTCAAACCAATATTTTTTATTTAATTTTATGTCACAGTTTGGTAAAAAGTATTAAACATTATATTTCATTATTTAATACATTTATTATTGATTATTATAAAATAGACAATTTTTTATTAACTAATAGAATGAAAATTATATTATACTATTAAATGTAAATTTAATATTAAAAAACAATTTTAAGTAAAGAAAAAAATGATTAATATTACGTGCGTAGCACGTGCATCTTCCTAGTATTTATAAATAGAACACTACTAGACATTGGTAGAGCTTGGATAAGATGGATGTTTTTACCCAAATCATTGACAAAATTTTCACCATTCCCCAATTATCATGTTCCATTAGCCAGTGCAGTACACTACATTCTCCAGAAGCACACGAGCATGACAAGTTAAATGACATCCAAGAGACTAATTACTTCACAGCAATAATCCGCTGTGGAGAAAAACGAAAGAAACATATGAATAATCGACCCGATCATACGCATAACAGAGAACGGCTATTAGTTACACGGTCACGTTACCTTTGGCCAATAATTAAGGGGCGTATATATAATTGTAGACGCATGCTTATTAGTTTAATGCCTTGTGAAAGTCAACCTGCCGAGCAGACGGAAATGGTAAGTCATGCTGATAAAATGATGGTAATTTTCAGGTATTTACGTTAGCAAAAAAAGATGAGACTCAAAATCCGTACATGCATGTTTACAAATTTTAGAAAAGGCCACAGAGCAATGACAAAGGCGAGATGCGTTTGCAGATGCTATGTTTCATGTTACTCGGTGTCTTTGCACTTTATATAAAGCAAAGCTAAATGCCAGTGCAAAAAAAGTATCCTCAAATAATAATATTCATAACAGGAATGAGAGAAGCAAGTTTAGTATTTGAATGATACATACAGAGGTTGATGTCTTCAGCAGCTCCCTTATGGCCATAGTTGCATAACAAGAAGCCGGGAGAGTAAAGGTCAACTTTAGAGCCTTTTGCGTCTTAGTGGCAGCCACAGGCTCAGCTGTTTGCATCACATCTTTGTCTCTGTGACTTTCAGATTCAATCTCAGTTTCACAATTATCCACCTTTGATCTCGAATCAGTTTGACAGTTGTTCTGTTCCTTCTCGTCTAAGGCTCCAACAACTGTACATGTTGTACCTGACTTTGTAATAGTTTCCCAGTCTGTCTCAGCCAGTGGTAAATTTGGATCTTGGTAGTTGAGCAATTCCCTGATTAGCAAGCAGAAATTAATTCTAGGACTGAAAAGAGCCAATTTTGAAGTGGAACTAGGAGAGAAAGAATCGAGCTTACCACTCAAAGTCCTTAGGCTTTTGAAACACTCGTCTATATGCTCCAGTCAGGTTGGTAAATGAAAATTCCCTACAAGCCGTAGCAGATCATAAACCAGGCAAAGAGCAAGAACATTGACATTGGCTGAATAATTGTCAGGGCTAGAAATTATGGCCTAACTAGCACCTCAGTGAAGATTCTACAGAAGTTGGAGCAAAGCATCGAGGGAGACAAAGGATTTTCGAATTATACTTTTAATAGGGACGAGAGGATAAAATAGCATCAGTAGGGTCACCCATGGTCGTCTTCAGTTTATCTTGAATGACAAAAGAAAAAGGAGTAAATATGTACTCACTTGGAATTGTGTGCACAGTCGGTCAAGCTAATACCATCCTGATAAGCGTGTTGCAAACATGAGAAAGAGATGCAATTTTTATGTTACTTCTGTGAATTGAAGAAGTGTATCATAAATGTAAAAGTACCCGTCTGATTACTGATTGATTTATGTAACAGAAAAAAGGCAAAGCCATCTTTAGTATTGAGGATTTTTTTCCCCCTTTTTTTTTAAAGAATTAGAATTGTTAAATACATA